GATCTCTTATATGAGGGGGTTTTTAGTATGCATTTATTCCCAAGGGGAAACCAGAACCTTCAGTTGAGCCAAAAAGCAAGAAAGTGCTAGAAATCCAATGGGGACAGGTCAAAAGGACTCAAGAGCCGGGATGAAGAAGCTCCACTGGCCAACTCTGGGTGACTATGAATGTCCAAACGAATAATGATGGGAATGGATTAAAACACAGAGGAAAAATTATCCATAAGTTCATATAGGTTTTACACTATTTTAAAGGGGGTGAGAAAGGAAAGATCTCTTTCATGAGATAATGCCAACTAATACAAGAAATGATGGAAAAGGTGCTAATCACAACCATCTTGGTAATAATTGATTCAGATGAGACTCATCAGTGGATGTTAAACTGCTGGCTGAGAGATTCCTGGGGAGAATATTCACACAGTCTCAAATTATCATCCAAAAGGGAGAAATTACACTGATACCCTGACAAGGGAGAAATCTGTGAATGTCATCTTGACCAGTTGAAAAAACCTACCGTGACCGGTAATGGGACAAACTGACATCAGGTACATGTAAGTGTGAAGTGCTGAAAAGGATGTACATCTACAGAATATTCCTGCCAAAAAGATGAACGTAATTATGAGAATATAACTGGACAAATCCACACTGGAGGACATTTTGCAAAACTGGCTGAACTCTCAAAAATGTCAATTCTGTGAAAGACAGGAAAGAAAAATGAGGAATAGTTCTAGAGTCTAAAGAGTCATGACAACTAAACCCAATGTGTGGTCCTTGATTAAAAATCCTGTATTAAATGACAATAATAAAAATGTCCACAAAGGTATAATTGGGATACATGTAGAAATTTGAATATGGACTGTGTGTTAGATGGTAATATTATATTACCATTAACGTGCAATTTCCTGAGTGTGAACATTGTGTGGTAGTTCTGTAGGAAAACACCTTCTTCTTACGAAATTTTACTTAGGGGTGAACTGACATAATATCGGCAACTAATTTCTTTTTTAAAAAATTATTTATTTTCATTTATTTGGCTGGGCCGGGTCTTAGTTGTGCATGTGGGATCTAGTTCCCTGACCGGGGACTGAACGGGGCCCCTGCATTGGGACCACAGAGCCTTAGGCACTAGACGGCCAGGGAGTGAAGTCAAGTGAAGTCGCGCAATCATGTCCGACTCTTTGCGACCCCGTGGACTGTAGCCCGCCAGGCTCTTCAGTCCACGGGATTTTCCAGGCAAGAATACTGGAGTGGGTTGCCATTTCCTTCTCCAGGGGATCTTCCCGACCCAGGGATCGAACCCCCGTCTCCCGCATTGTAGGCAAACGCTTTACCGTCTGAGCCAACAGGGAACCCCAACTAATTCTTAAATAATTAATGAATGCATACATGCGTACACAGAAAGAGCAAGAGAGAGTGCAAATGATACAAAACATTAGTGAATGGAAAAAAGGCATACAAGTGTTTTTGGTACCATCATAGTTTTTCCAAGATTTGGAAATTTGCAAAATTAAAAAGAAAAGAAGGAAGGAAGGAAAAAGCACCTGCTGTGAGCCAGGCCCTCCCCGGGGACAGGGGCGGTGAAATGACGGGTGGGGAGGTTCTGTCTGCCCCAACACCCTTTTCCCTTCTTCTGATAAGAGTTCCCATTTTCACTCCCATCACTGGGCTCTAGTGGGTGGAGCTGCTGCAAAAGGGCCTATGGCTGGGAGCAGACATGTGACATGGCCTGGCCAATCACAGCTCTCCATGCTGCTGCCCCACAGAGATTGGTCGGGGCAGATCCAGGCTGGACCAATCGGAATCCTTCCCTGGGCCTTTCTACATGAACCTCCTTCTACAGGGAAGTTTCTTTCTACTCTGAGACCAGGTGGCTCGAAGCCTATGATTCTTGGACTTCTCAACGTCTTTCACTGCGTGAGAATAAAGTCTGAGTCCAGAGGCCGGCACAGCTGAGCAGCGGAGATCCCTGAGGCCCTGACAGTATCTAGTTCTTGGTTCTATTAGTAAGTCCCGAGACTCCTGGAACTGCCAAGGCACCTGAAGCTCTTCCTTCATTCTGCGGTTTACTTTCATGCCCTTATTTAATTAATTAGAAGGCAAAGTATAAGGAGATGTATTAGGGACAGAAACAAAGGGCAGAGAGAGGCAGAAATGAACGCGCGCGCGCGTGTGTGTGTGTGTGTGTGTGTGTGTGTTTGAGAGATTTACTGAGAGCACACGGGTGTTCCACCCGGAAAGGCTTTCCCAAAGAGCTGGGACCCTGCAGGAAACAGAAAGAAGGTTCTGAAAGGGACAATATTCTGAGCGGAGGGGACAGGACAGTTTGGACAAAGGCAGAAAAGAAGTCTGTCCTGGGCATAAAAAGCCTTCCTGGGGGTGAGGAGGCAAGAGACTGAGCTCGCCGAATGGATGCTCAACCATGTCCCCCTGAGTAACTTCCATCCGGCCGACCTCTGAAATGCATCTTTCTTCTGAGAACTTGCAGGGTACATTTAGCAGAAAGATGCTTAGGACACATGTGCATGGAGGGGGCGATGGCAACAATCTTCCTCCAATAAGAGGCAGTGTGGGTGGTGGGAAAGAATTCAAGCCCTGTGGTCATCTGACTTACATCTGAAGTAAGTAAGTAAGTAAGTAAGTAACTCAGTAACTTGACCCTGTGGTCATCTGACTTACATCTGAAGTAAGTGAGTAAGTAAGTAAGTAACTCAGTAACTTGACCTTGCGTGGACTGTTTAATCTAAGCTTCAGTTTGCTCATCTGTAGAATGGGAGAGAAACAACGGAACCTACCCATAAGATTGCTGACAGGATTAAAGGAGATGCTCCCAGAGAGCCTATCATAACATCAGCCATGAAATAAATTCTTTTTTGGTTGCCAATGATTATTATCATCATTACCATCATCAACAACACCTGTACCCTGAGAACGATCTGCATGCTTCCAGGGTTAGGGGGCTGACCGGGTCCAAAGAAAGCTCATTCCATCGTTGGGCGAATCTGAGCCTGAAGAGCCAGCGTGTGCTTCTGTGTAACCCACCCCCACGTCCTCGCAGTTTCAGGCACCAGAAGAACAGCTGTGAACCCGATAAGGAATCAGCTCTCCTCCTCCTTGGACCTGCCTGCAGCTCCCTGCCAGCAGAAATCCAGGGCAAGGACACCGCTGAGAGTGTGGTATGCCATCAGCATGCTCTGGGGGTGCCCACTCAAGCATGTCCACCATCCAAGAGGCTCCAGGGGCTCTTCATGGAAACTGTTAAAACTGCCCAGGGTGCCACAGAGCTTTTAGGAATGGTTCTGGGACCCCGACAGAAAACCATCACAGGGGCTGCTCAGGGAGGCCCCTCTGGTCTCCTCATGGCTCCCTGGAGAACCAAAGCCCAGAGTGGCCAGCCCTGGAGGGCCTCCTTCATCCGGGTCCAGGTCTCTCACCATCCACAGACGGGAGGGTGGTCCTCCCGCCCTGGCCCCACCTGTTCTCTCGTTTGCCAAAGTGGCCAGTCCCACTGAAACCCAGCAGGAGCTCGTGGGGCTCCTGGGCACCAAAATCTTCTTATGTGACTGTTTCTTCCATGCAGGAAACAGCCTTCTGCCTCCATGACCTTCCCTGAGGTCCAGAGTCGCTAATCAGGGAAGGGAGGGGATGCGGAGACAAGGGAGGAGCGGCCAAGAACCAATAGCAGACGCTTGGGGCAGGGTCCCGGTTCTACCTCAAGGGAGGCACAGAACAGTATCTTTGAACTCCTTACAGAACTAAAGTGGCAGTGCTGGCCTCCCTTGTGGCTCAGATGGTAAAGAATCTGCCTGCAATGCAGGAGGCCCGGGTTTGATCCCTGCGTCAGGAAGATCCCCTAGAAAAGATTTTTGGACACACATTTTTGACGGCACGAGCCTGCTGTGTCCCCGTTTGCCTGGCAAAGCAATAAAGCTGTTCTTTTCTACTTCACTCAAAACTCTGTCTCTGAGATTCAAACCAGCACCTGTGTACAGAGGCCGAGTTTTCGGCATCAACACCAAGCCCATCCAGACCAGTGTTGGGGTAGAGGGAACCTGGGCACCAGGGTCACCCCAAACTCTGGCTTCCTGGCTTCATGGGGAAATGGATGGTTTCCTGGGAAGGACAGAACCTCAAGCAGTTAAATCCCCCTCCTCTCATTTGCATTCCTGTCCCCGATCTGTATCAACATCCCCAGGGCAAGGCAATCTTGTTTCCCCAACAAAACCTATTATGCACATCAGGCCTAGGGATTAATTACCAGGCACAGGGTCGGGGCCAATAAAACAGGATGCGGGAAGAGCCCGGAGAGAGGCTGGGGGCCGCCCGGCTTCGGCGGTAGCTGTCTCGCAGGCACTCTTTCACCTGCTCTCGCTGAGACCCGGCTCTCTCTCTCTCTCTCTGTGTTCCCCTTTCTCCCCACTTGGCAGTGTGCTGGGGAAGCAGGCCAGGCCTACCCAGAGCACCGTGCGGGGGCATAACAGGAAGCAGAGATAAGTGCAAATGCCCAGGGGGTCCCACTTTTGTGTTCCCCCTGAATTTCCCTCCCAAATAGAATCTATCCATCGCTTACGGATCCCGGGAAGCCACATGCCACGGCCCTCTGTTGGACCCAGGCCCCTCCAACAGCTCCCCTGAGACAGCAGCATTTTCTCAGGAGGGAGGGATCTGGTCACGGCTCATGCTGGCACTGAGCTCCTCTGCCCTAAATGTCACCTCTGCCCTGTCCCAGGCTGCCTGGACCACCCTATGGGGTGGCTCCCCCAGCCCACCCTCTAGTCATCCTCTGCTGGCTTAGCCCGCAGGGTCTTCTCACCCCAGGTCAAGGCTGCCTTGATCCCCCCGCCCCACCCAACCCCCTGCAACTTCCGACATCCCAGCCTCCCTGCAGCCCTGGACCAGAGCTGCCCCGAGCTGCCAGCCCAGCCCGCTCCCCGTTCAGGTGCCCCTCCAGGACACGGTGGGACCCTGGCGGCCCGGAGGGAGGGAAGGGGCGGCGTGCTTGCCTGTACTCCAGGGAGAACTTGGTCAGCTCTCGGTCGTTGTGCAGCCACTTGAACTCCAGCGGCCAGCTGCCCTCGGCCATGCACGTGAGCACCAGGCGGTTCCCCTCCAGGTGCACCTGCGTCCGCACCGGCTCCGTCTTGAAATAGGGGGCCACGTCATCTGCAGGGAACAGAGACACCGAAGCGCCGGTTACCACTTCTCTCCTGCCTGCAGTCGCGCACCTGGAGCCCGGCCTCTGGGAGGCACATGGGGCAGGCGCAGCGGGTCACGGGCGAAGGTCCTGTGCCCGGGAAGGGCTGGAACTCAGGTCAGTGCGACTTCAGGGCGTGTATGCAGAGCGACCTCTCCCTGCCGGCCTCCTACCAGAAGGCCCTGGGCCCACCGCCTTGGCTGCCACCCTGACGCTCCAGGACTTTCGGTCTCTCCCGCCTCAGGATCCCCATCCATCCGACACCCTTTGCTTCTGGTTTCTCCTTCCAGAGAAGAAGGAAGGGTGGGGGGAGCACTTCTGCACTTTAGCCAAAGGGAAAATAAGTGCCACGTGGGAAAGGGGGGCAAGGGGGCATGGGTAAAGCGGGAGACAGGAGCTGACACACACACTACTTATAAGGACCTCCTGCTCAGCCCTCTGTAACGACTTCCATGGGAACAGAGTCTCGAGAAGAGTGGATGCGTGTACACGTATAACTGATCCACTTTGCTGTGAAGCAGAAGCCAACACAACATTGTAAATCACCTGTGCTCCAATACAAATTAATTAAAAAAAAAAAACTCCAGGGAAACAGGGGTAGGACACCTGGGTTGGCAGGAGTGGCATGTGATGGGGGTGACCAGAGTCCTGCTTCCTAAGGCTGCAGGAAACCCTTCCAGGCGCCAAGGGCGGGGTCCCTCTCGGGGGCCCCCCTCCACCGCCAGGCTGGTTGGTCTTCCACCCGAGGTTCTGGGCCAGCCTGCCTAGACCTCTTCACTCACACACCAGGTTGGCTGTGGGGTCAGAAGAAATGCCACTGGCTGGGCTGCCGGCATGGGGTACAGTCCTTGCTCTGCTCTTCTCTAACCCTTTGACCCGACTCAGTCCAACCAAGCATGAGCCCCCCGCCCCCCAGCTCCCCTAGACACAGACAATGCACGCAGGACCCCAGACTTCAGGGGAGCACTGAGACCAAAAGCTTTGGGTGGAGATAGAGGCTTTCTGTCTGCCGGCAAGTCGGAAAAGGGGCAGAAGTGAAATCGATGAGGGGTTGAACAAACGAAATGGGAGACGCAGCAAGGGGGAGAGGGCCTCCACGCCCATCGTTGAGCAGACCTGTGTTTCGGGGAGGGGTCTGCACTGGAAACAACACAGGGACTGAAGTACTACCAGGTTCCGGGTCACCATGGACGGAGGGGTGTGGTGGGCTAGAGTCCAAGGGGTCGCAAAGAGTCGGACACGACCGAGTGGCTTCACTCACCGGATCTACCTGCAAGCCCACAACCAGATAGGATCAAAATCCACCTTTCAGAGAGGGGTTAGAAGCTCGCCCCAGGTCACACAGCTGGAAGGCAAGCAGCCAGCCCTGCAAGCTGAGCACTTAACCCTGCACTTGACCATGAAGGTGAAACGTGGATGAAGAGGAAGATGGGTTTAAGGCACCCACACGCACTCAATGCCTTTGCGTCTGATAGACGGAGGAGGCGAGCTCCAGGGAGCACTGTTCACCAGCTCATCCAGAGAGCACGCTCTGTGCGGGGCTCTGATCACCTGCTCCTCAGAGCAGCGCTCCCTTCGCTCTCAGGGGTACGGCCTGGGGACCCCGCAGCCCTGAGCGGCAACAAGGGCGAGTCAGGTCCAGGCCTGAAAGTGAAGAGCGAAAGAAAAGTCGCTCAGTCGTGTCCGACCATTTGCGACCCCGTGGACTGTAGCCCACCAGTCTCCTCCGTCCGTGCGATTTTCCAGGCAAGAGTACTGGAGTGGGTAGCCACTCCCTTCTCCAGGGATTGAACCCTTCTCTCTCTTCTTCCCGACCCAGGGATTGAACCCTGGTCTCCTGCACTGTAGGCAGAGGCTTTACTGTCTGAGCTTACCAGACCCAAATCCAAGCACTTTCCACCCATCACCCTGCCCGAGGGGTGGGCGGTGCTCAAAGCCAGAAAGCTGCTGGCAAATCAGGCACTGGGAATCAGCCCTCCAAGCCTTGTGGGTCTGTGCTCAGCTGCCTGGGTGTGGACACGTATTCATCTCGCTGAGTCTTAGTTTCTCCATCAGGAGCACAGGAAGAAACAGCCACTGTGATATCTTAAGAGTTAAATTGGATAGTCACTCAGTTGTGTCTCACTCCTTGCGACCCCATGGACTGTAGCCCACCAGGCTCCTCTGTCCGTGGGATTCTCCAGGCAAGAGTACTGGAGTGGGTTGCCATGCCCTCCTCCAGGGGATCTCCCCGACCCAGGGATTGAGCACTGCATTGCAGGCAGATTCTGTGCCACCTGAGCCGCCAGGGAAGCCCATTGTTAAATGAGATAACAATTGTGAAAATGCTAGGTCTGTGCCCGGCCCGGAGTAAATGTTCTGCAAATGTTCATTTCTTTTCCAACATCAGAGAATCGGTGTCCCTGCCAGGGAAGGGGGTTCCATCACCCTCGGTGCTGGCTGACACCCCAGACAGACCTTGGTCTGAGAGTTAACAACCCACTAGGAGCCCAGACAGTGAAAAACATAAGACACGATTCTCCAGGCCTCAGGTATGGGACAAGCCAGAGAAAGGGGCAGGTGTCTGGGGTCGGGGAGGCAGTGACTCAAGGGTGGAAGGGAGTGAACCCAGCTGCGGCCTGGCAGGCTGGGGGGGTGGTGCGCAGGGGCTGGGGGGAGCAGGGCCCCCTCCTGCATCGCAGGTGGAATCTTTGGAGTATCAGTGGGGCTTGGAGGCCTGGATCCCTGCTCTATCCTCTCATCCTCAGATTTAACCAGGGTTGGGCATCCTTGGGTTTCAGATAAGGTTCCGCATTTGTGACAAAGACTCACTCTGAGCTTCTGCACAGACCGACAACTCAGGACAAGCCATATGTCGGCTTGGGGCCCAGGCCCACCAGCTGGCTGCAGAGATTCCCACCCCAACCCTAGGGTCTCTCCATCTTCACTGGAGACTGTGAGAGTCTTCCTGGACCCCCAATCCTGCTACAGACCCTTGCCGTGGGGGCCACTGGAGGGCAGGCCAGGGGTGGACCGACAGGGGCCGGAGAGCAGGTGGACCACTCTGCCCCTCGCATCTCCCCGCGGGACGCGGATGTTCCCGTCTCGGAGCTGACGCTGCTCACTCGCACGTCTGCCCATCACTCTGTCACGTGAGCCCACTGCCTTAAAGACGGCTGAAGCGGTGCCTCTCCCAGAGTGTGTCCTGAGGGGATGGCTGACCCCCCCAACCCGGTCCCCCGTTTCTGGGATCCTCCCGCATTTCTGGAGCTGGCGAAGGGCGGAGAGGCAGGAAGGCACTCATTTGCCAAGAAAAACGGTTCCCCACCCTCAGAGGCAGCAGGCTCCTCTCAGTTTAACAAATGGGCACATTCGTACTTCAAAGGCGCATTCATATTCTCCAGCAGCTTTCAAGAGCCCTTTGAATCGCGTTCTTAAAAACCCTCTGTTAGCTCCTGTCATCCCTCGTTTGTTTTAAAACAATAATGCTCCCAGCCCCCAACGATCAAATCCCTCGGAGGTGGGCTGGCTCGGAGCCAGAGGAGTGGGGTGTGGGTGTGGGCGGCAGGTGTGTTTGCCCACGCACACGGGCACACGTGCCCAGCGCCCACACCCCGGCCTCCGCCACCCAGTTCACGGGTCACGTGCCCGCCACGTCTGCAGTCGCCAATTCATTCCTCAGGCTCTCCTAGGGGCGCCAGTCTGGAGCCAAATGGCTTCTGCTTGGATGGGCTGATTCCAGAGGCTGCTGGAGATAATGACTTGAGGGAAGGGGGGAGGTGGGGCGTTAGCCTTTCCTGAGAAACTGCTGGGTACCCAGATCAGAGCAGCTTCCCTCATTCCAAGCAATCCTAACAAGGCACCTGGCTGAGGCCAAGGCTCCCTGCCCCAAGACCCTGAGATGCGGCCACACCTCCCTTCCCGAAGGTGAAAGGCCCGTCACGTCGGGACTCATGTCGGGATACAGGGATTTGGGAGGGAGGCCCATGCAGAACTGAGAGCAGGCGTGGTAGTGAGTCCTGCCAGCCTGTTTTCCTAGATGGGCCGGCCCTGCCCCAAGGCAGGGGGGCTGGGTGTGTGTGAGCTGTAGCAGGAAAGACTGATGGGAGAAGGATGCTGGTGGGAACAGCCTGTGTGTGTGTGTCTCTGTATGTCTTTGAGCGCGCATCTGTGTGCATCTCTGTACGTATGTAAGTATGTATGTATGTATCCACGTGTATGTGTCTGTGTGTTCATGTGTGTGTCTGGATGACTCTCTGATTGCATGTGTATCTGTGTGTCTGAGTGTGTGTGGTGTGTGTGTGTGTGTGTGTGTGTGTGCGCGCGTGCTTATATGCAGGAACAGATTTCTGCATCATGACTGCACAGGTGGGTAACACAGATCATTGGCCTTGAGCAAGTGACCTTGACTCTCTGCACTTCAGTGTCCTTAGCTGTAAACTGGGGATATGTTTGTTGTGAGGCTTTAAATAAAAAACATAAAGTGCTTAGGAAAGGAGAGTGCCTGGTGTGTGCTATGGGAGAGGCAGTCATTACTACTCTTGATCATACAGGCAGGGGGCAGATCCCCTGGGGGGAGGAACCCATCCACTCTGGGCAGGGGCCAATAGCCTCTCAACCTTAGCTCTGGGATTGTGCAGTACACAACTCGGACTACTGCACATGACAGCCCTGTTAGCCACATTCTCAGTGGGGAAGGGATAACGGAGAATGGAGAAGGGTTGACAGAATCAATGTTCCACAGATGTCATTCTCGTCTTTTCCTCACTTTGAAAACATACACATAGATGATTCCTTAAGCTAGACAAAGTGACTCAAAAATTCACACTTAAGAAAACCACAAAAGAATAGACAAGAAAATTCTGAAAAAGAATGGCAAGCAGAAGAGATTAGCACACATAGCAAACAATATCATAAAGCTGCAATCATTAAAGCAGTGTGTTCTTTTTCAAACGGACTGATGAAGCAATGAACCAGAGAGTCTAGAAACAGACCCCAGTATATATGAGATATTTAAGAGAGGATTAAAGTAGAATTTCAGGTCAGTGGGGAGTAGATCAATTATTCAACAAATGCCTTGGAGCAACCAGGATGCCATTTGAGGGGAAAAATCAAGCTGAATCTATTCCCCACACTTTACCGCAAAATAAATGCTAGATGGATCAATGTTTTAAACAAGAAAAATGAAATTCTAAAAGAACTAGAAAAAATCACAGGGGCTTAAAAATACACAGTCTCAGCAAAGCAAAGAATTTGCCAAGTACTTTCTAAGTG